GGGGGGGGGGTGAGAAAAGAAGTCATTTTTCTTTTATTGAAGATGTATAACGCACCATTCGACACTGCAATCAAACCTAGTCTAATGGCATTTACCCGAGAGAATCACCTGTACAAATGACCACTCCCCACGTCCCTCCGGGCCTTTTGTTCTATCTGTCCGCGGAGTTTTAAGCACCCCACCCCGCATAATTCAGCAAAATTAAATCATTTTTTGCTTGATTTCTGTATAAAATATTGCCCTATATCATTCTTGGTTAAGGGCTCAGTTTGCATAATTTCAGAATTTTGTTTGCATAAAACCACGGGGACAGTTCTATTATACAATGTATTCTAGTGATATTGTCTAAGATGATCACTTTTACCACGACAATGGGTACTTGTCTTGGGCAGGTTAGACTATTTTTTAAAAACATTTTCTCTTAACACATCTACTTTGAAAAACAAACAAACAAACAAACAAAACCAGGCTGACAGTCTACTTCAACCTTTTGGAATGTCATATTAGTTTTAGTAGAGGTTTCACGGCGCTCGCAACTGCATAAGGTCATAATATATGAGCGCCAAGGGGTGGATGTCAACAGAGAAGTTCTTACAGGAAATCAAACTTACTCTGTTCACTTCTGTAGCTTCAACAGCACAAGGTCTGCTTCGACTATCAAGGCACCCCGGAAATAGCAGGTCACAAGAGTGTGATAAAGATACAAAAGAAGTAGAGAGAAATGACAATAGTAAGGATATGGAAAGAAAGAGCAACAGTTCCCTGTTGTAGATCAGGCACAGTTATGAGCATGACGATGACATTGTTAGATCAGCCCATTTACAATTCTACTGTGCATTAGAACGAGAAATGTCCCCCTTTGGGAATGGCCTAAAGACACTTCAGTCAGAGGCACCGGCCCAGGGGGTGGGGGGGGGGGGGGGGTTGGAATGTAAGCGGCCTGCACAATCAGCTTGTCTTTCCCCAGCCCAGCGTCAAAAACAAACAAACGTGTAACAAACTCTTCGTTCTTTACACCTTTCTTATTTTCCATTGTTAATTAGGTTGACTCTCCCTTACTGCCTTGTCACTAGAATAATATTTACACATTCTGTCAACTCAACATACAAGTGTCATTTGATAGGAATGTACATGGAACCCCCTCCCCCCTCCCCCTAAAAATTTAGTAGATAGATAAAAAAAAATATAA